TTTGGAGTTCTCCAAACTCACAAAGCTCCAAATTTGGGACATAAAACCCTAAAAATGGACCCAAAACATGAACTAACACAACAATGAGAAAGTTTCAAACTTGATACCTCTAGTAGATGCACCAACAAGAGTAAAGTTCAGATCCAAGAGCTAGAAGCACAAGCTATCCTTCCTTTAAGGCTCATTCTTCACCTAAAGCTTCACAAGAACACTTAAATGAACCACAAACACTTACACAAGCTAGGAATGCAAAATTAAGGTTTGAGGAAGGTTGGAGGCTGGAAATGGTGGCTGGAAATGAGGTCATCATGTTCCTTAAATAGGGGCACAAAAGGGCATTAGGGTTTTACTCTGAGCCTAGTACGCCCAGCGTACCCTCTAGAACACCCTGCGCACTAGGTGGCCTCTGCGATCATGCAAAGTGCATAAGTACGCCGCGCGTACACATGCGTACGCGCTCATGTACTCAATTGCCACATTTTCTTAATAAGGACTAGTCTTGAAAAATACATAAAAGATTAAGGTTAGAGAACTATACCTTATTTCGGGATGTCACACTTTAAGCATAGATTCTTTTTGATGTAAGAAAATTGAAATTTCAGTTTGAATTCACATTGTGAATCTGATTAGATTGACATTGTGAATCTGTTATGATTCACAATGTGATTAATAGTAAGTCAGATTCATATTGTGAATTCTAAAAACTAATTTATTGGTGGGATGTCAAGTCCACCAAGCAAACTACACTATTTGCTTGCAAATAAAACGTAATATAATAGTACAAAGGGGTATCGATCATCGAGAGATGGTTGTATTCAATCACCAATGCAATCTAATAGAACTAGTGTAATAAACTAACTAACTACAATTAAACTAAAAGGGGGGGGGGGGTGTGATTGTTTGAAAACTAAAATACTTGAATAACTAAAAAGCTTGCAATTAATTAAGATAGTGAGATGCTTAAATATTGGAGAGAATTGGTCAACCAATGCAATTAAGCACAATAAACATTTGTATGTTTATCATTAGGATTTAATGTGAAGCTTATCATTCATCCCAAATTAGTTATAGAAATCATGAAACATGATATGCCAAGATTCCTCAAATATAGTATGGGGGCTAGGCCCATTGTATGGTATGTAGTATTTTGGGAAACTCACTAAGCGTCGTGCTTACAATTTGTGGTTTAACATTTTTCAGATACTTCCAATTCTAATAGGAAGGGTCCGGCTTCACTACACAACATCCCCTGATGGCTTTTATGTACTGATTATATTTGTTTTACTCTGATGTTTGGAAAATACAATTCACTATGATTGGTTTCAGAACAAATGGTTGTATAGAATTAATGTTTTTAAAATGAACATTTTATCGTTATCTTTGGGATGTTACAGGTATGTAATTTTTTTTATTACTTTTAGTAATTGCAATAATAGAATGAAACTTGGATTCATATAGGTTGGATGGATACATATGAATTCTTGTATGTCTCCATTGCGCATAATCATGTGTTAGCATATAGAAAACCTATATCAACATGATTTTTCTAACAAGCTAAGTTTTTGACAATTTCATATTTTCATCTCTCTCTCTCTCTCACAGAAAAAAATAATCCAAAAATCAGGGTTCAATTCATAAATTTAAAGATAAAACACATGAACACAACTAGGAAATAGATTGTAAGGTTTTTCTATTCTCCGAGGTTTTGTTTTTATAAATCTAACACACATATCTTGGTGTACACATACATGTTGGTTCTTGAATTTGGAAAACATAAACGCATCAATTTCAAACACACATGTGTCGAGTTCGCATACAAACTGAATCTGATATTTGGAAAACACACACAAATTGAATATGAAATTGAGTTCACACACTTAAAAACTAATCTATAATCACACAAGCTTAATATGAAATCGATTTGGAAAACATGTGTTCTTAACAAACTTGTGTGTTCTGCACAAGAAAAATATCAAATTTAGGGCTTTCATTTATGTGCTCTTCAAAATATGAAATCAATTTTAGGAATCGGTTTCGTTTCAAACTTCTTAAAGAACGTATGTGTTTGTTTGTTCTTCCAAATCAAAAAATGATACTACGTTCTTCAAGAGGACACATAATTGAGTTCTTTAAAAAACATATGTTTGTTCTTATATAAAATCGATTTTAGGCCTTTTAAGATGGACATATTTATGAGGTTGTGTTCCCGAGTTCATTACAACAAGAACAAGATGACATATTTGAAGAAACCGGAAAAGTTTTGTTTGGTTAGAGAAGATGATAAAAAAATTTGTGTTTAGCTGGAAACCTATACTTACATGTTCTATATATATTTTATGTGTGTAATTTTTTTTTTTTTTTTTTTTAATTTTCTCCGTGTTTTCTTTGCCTTTTTAATATTTGAAATAAAATAAATAAGTACAAATTACAACAAATTCAATGTTCATTGCATTACACGTCGCCACCTATAAAATTAATTGCACAAGTTTAAAGTTGGTTTCGAATTTTATGAGTAGTTTATTTTAATGCATATTATATGACACCTTTTAAATCATTACTGTACATAGCGCACATATGGCCATATCTTTCTGAAAATAGAAACTTATCGATCTTCGGATGGTCTCATTTACTTTTTAAAAAAACTTATGAATTTTTTCTTTCCAACAATTTATATTTTGTTCGCCGTTCAATTTTACTTTTCTTTTACTTCTAAAGTCTCTGGTTGAAAACCATAACGTTTTAGGTAACTTTTGGTAGGTGAAATGGTACATAAAAAAACAAAATCAAATTACAGAACAAATCAATACAACTTGAGATACTGGTTGGTGAAGATAGAACTAGGGAACTAAACTGCCCTCAGTGAAAAAATAAAACACATAGACAAATAATTTAAGACTAAAATGCTCTCAATATCTTGTCACATGTCTTTTGCAACTTCTTGATTTCAACAACAAAAAGTTTCCAAGACCTTGAGTGTTAGAATATGTGTAGAATATTTGATAATAGGAAAATTACTAATCTAACCAAAAACACTAGTTATTTATCTATAATTAGCAAAAAAAAAACACATTAGTCAAAATTAGCTCACGAAATAATAGATAGATTAGAGTTGACTACGGTCAACGGCAGAAAACTACTATTTTGTCACAATAGGCTACTTTTTCGTGGGTCGTCTACTATTTTGTGGCCCATAGTATATATAATGTCTTATTTTTCAATTTAAACTATTTTTTCCTTATTTTTCCTTCCATTGTATACTATTTTCTCTCAATGAAGCACCCAAAAAACAACGAGGTACATCCATTTTTAATCAATATTTACCGTATTGTTGATTAGGAGTAGTTTTTGTAAATGGAGATAACTTTTTTTTTTGAAAACAACCGAAAAAAAAATAAATTAAACCGTAGGTTTAGTATGAACCCTACAAATTTTTTTTTTTTCGTTTTTTTTTTTTAATTTGTTGTAACCTGGTAAGAAATTATATATATATATATATATATATATATATATATATATATATATATATATATTAAGATTTTATCATTTTATTTTTCAAAAAACATAAAAAAAATTAACGAAACCATAGGTTTTTTGGAAACCTACCGTGTACAACAATTTAATGCACAGTTTGTGCATTTAAATGTTGTACACTGTAGGTTTCTTTTTCGGGTTTTTAAAATTAAAAAAAAAATTTATAACCAACAAACACTAGTATATATTGTTGATTCCATGATTTTTTTTGGAAAAAAGTAAAAATAAAATAAAACTGTATGTTTTCAAGAAACCTACGGTGTACAATATGTTATGATTCCATGTTTCCATTTTGTGATAAAGTATGTTATTTTAATTGTTTCCATTATAGCATATCTTAACAATTTACTATCAATTGAAGAATTTTCTATGTTTATAAATGATAGATAGTTTGAAGTATAATGTCTTGATAAAATAAGCTTGTGTTTTAGTAATTTTGGCTTTGTTATAAAATATGTTATTGTTACACTGTTTTCAAAGTACAATGTTATATTTGGTATTCTCAAAGTACAATGCTTTTTATAAAACTTTATATAACCTTAATGTTTATTTAATTTGGTAGCTTCCAAACAAAAGGATGATGGGTAACATATCTGTTAAAGCTTCATGTCATAAGTTACATGAAGTTTTGAGTGACTTAAACAGACGAGTGCGAAATATCTTTTTAACAACTTGCTTCGATTACTTGTTGAACTTACCAGCTCAGTCCGGGGACAGACTTCTTATTCATGGGTTGTTATAGCATATGTTGTGCCCTACTGCTGAAACAGACGTTGCTGAGCGTCTACATTTTAAGTTTTCTAGACGTACATTGTCATTTGGGCTCGAGGAGTAATGTCTCGTGTCTGGACTTCACATGGATTGGTGTCCGAGATCAAGGACCGAACTTGCTACTATGTATAAACACGAATATGGTGATAATTTATTTCGGTCAAGAGTCTCCCCACATCGCTCGGACACTAGTTTACTTATAGGCGATTTATAGGGCCTAAATGATATATCGACTGATGACGGTGTTCGAGCAATTTTGCTATATATTCTTAATCACATTTTTTTGGGAAAAAAAGTCCAATGATAAAGTCATCAATGAATGGTTGTGGGTGGTAGAGGACTTGGAGCAATGAAATAGATATTTGTCAATTTGATATTTTTAATAAAATACTATTTTTTTATACGCTTAACTAATGTTTTTGTATATAATATAGGTTCTATTAGGGGAGTTATCTATGGTATAATACATACCCTAGAATGTCAGGTATGTTTAAAAAATTTGAGGATCATATGCTCAATCATCCAACAAATCCGTATGTGTATAGACTATCGAGATTTATTATACCTTTGAATGTTTATTGAAGTATTTACAAATATACATTTACAATTTTTTTTTTGTATCTTTATTTTTGATAAATTGTGTTACTGCTAACACTTATCACTTATTGTATATTTATTACATGACATGGATATGGGAGATGTTCCCAATAATTCGTGAAAATGCTGCGATTCAACAAAATAGATTTTATCCTCATATATTGCGGTGGTTTCATGTCAGGAGGTTGAATTGGGAAGGAGTTTGCGATGTTTTCAATGTTGACGAGGACGAGGCGCATCAACCCAAAAGAAAAATGATTGCCTCAGATGTGGAGTGCTCTACTCCAAATTATTTTTCATATATTACTAGTTTGAAGGTCGAATCGTCTGAAGTCCCTTCGTCTGTACGTTTCAACTTTAGAAAAAATGTAAGTAAAATGGTAACAATAGAATCTAGTATATTAATAATTTTCAACTATTATTTATATATCAAATAAATTATGTAGGGGGCATCTTCGTCTGATCTATCCTGTGAAAACAACCATTCTACCCGGTCCACTGAACGAACTCATACGGTGGGAATTAACAAAAGGACTACGCGAGAAATACTGGCGAGACTTCAATCTTTGGAGGAAGAAATCCAAGGAATGAAAAATAAAGGGGGAGTTCAAAAAGAGGATGACTTGGAAACATATTTAGACCAAGCTTTTGAGGTAAAATAATTAATTTTAGCAATTTACTATCAATTTGAAGAAATTTGAAGTATAATTTCTTAATTATAGTATGATGTATTAATTATAGCATATTATAGCAATGTACTATCAATTTGAAGAATTTTATTTGTTTATAATTGATAGATATTTTGAAGTATAATCTCTTGATACAATAACCTTGTATTTTGGTAGTTCCGGCTTTGTCATAAAATATGTTATCATCACACAGTTTGCAAAGTACAATGCTATATATGGTATATTCTTTGTATAGAAAAAACAAAAAATTAGGTCAGTTAGTTGTTAAATTTGCTTTGCTTTTTTATTAATTATTTTTCTTTAAATGAAGGGGAATGACAATGTGGATGCTAGTTTTCGGATGCTAAGCCCGATGAGCCAACAATTCGGTAGTGAACGGAAATCAAGTCGAATAAACGAGGATGATGAATTGGATAATCAACCAAAGTTGGATTGTAGAAAACAAAAACAAATCGTGAAGAAGGTTATATTTTGTTTGTATATTTAATTTTAAAATTTTTTCAAATTATATTAAAAAAATTAATATGTTTTTATAGAGGAAGAAGAAAAAGAAGGTTGTTGATAGCGACATTGTGGATGCGAAAAATCATATACCCGAGCCTCCTATTCAAAGACCAAGTCGTCCGGCTAGGTTATTGAAACCTTCGCAATATTTAAGCTCTCCATACTTTTCGGTAAGCAAGTTAAAAATTATATTTACTATAATTTTATTACTATATGGATAGTTATTGACTGCTAACACTTATCACTTATTGTATATTTATTACACGACATGGATATGAGAGATGTTCCCAATAATTCGTGAAAATGCTGCGATTCAACGAAATAGATTTTATCCTCATATATTGCGGTGGTTTCATGTCAGGAAGTTGAATTGGGAGGGAGTTTGCGATGTTTTCATTGTTGACGAGGACGAGGCGCATCAACCCAAAAGAAAGATGATTGCCTCAGATGTGGAGTGCTCTACTCCAAATTATTTTTCATATATTACTAGTTTGAAGGTCGAATCGTCTGAAGTCCCTTCGTCTGTACGTTTCAACTTTAGAAAAAATGTAAGTAAAATGGTAACAATAGAATCTAGTATATTAATAATTTTCAACTATTATTTATATATCAAATAAATTATGTAGGGGGCATCTTCGTCTGATCTATCCTGTGAAAACAACCATTCTACCCAGTCCACTGAACGAACTCATACGGTGGGAATTAACAAAAGGACTACGCGAGAAATACTGGCGAGACTTCAATCTTTGGAGGAAGAAATCCAAGGAATGAAAAATAAAGGGGGAGTTCAAAAAGAGGATGACTTGGAAACATATTTAGACCAAGCTTTTGAGGTAAAATAATTAATTTTAGCAATTTACTATCAATTTGAAGAAATTTGAATTATAATTTCTTAATTATAGTATGATGTATTAATTATAGCATATTATAGCAATGTACTATCAATTTGAAGAATTTTATTTGTTTATAATTGATAGATATTTTGAAGTATAATCTCTTGATAAAATAACCTTGTATTTTGGTAGTTCTGGCTTTGTCATAAAATATGTTATCATCACACAGTTTGCAAAGTACAATGCTATATATGGTATATTCTTTGTATAGAAAAAACAAAAAATTAGGTCAGTTAGTTGTTAAATTTGCTTTGCTTTTTTATTAATTATTTTTCTTTAAATGAAGGGGAATGACAATGTGGATGCTAGTTTTCGGATGCTAAGCCCGATGAGCCAACAATTCGGTAGTGAACGGAAATCAAGTCGAGTAAACGAGGATGATGAATTGGATAATCAACCAAAGTTGGATTGTAGAAAACAAAAACAAATCGTGAAGAAGGTTATATTTACTTGTATATTTAATTTTTAAAAATTTTCAAATTATATTAAAAAAATTAATATGTTTTTATAGAAGAAGAAGAAAAAGAAGGTTGTTGATAGCGACATTGTGGATGCGAATAATCATATACCCGAGCCTCCTATTCAAAGACCAAGTCGTCCGGCTAGGTTATTGAAACCTTCGCAATATTTAAGCTCTCCATACTTTTCGGTAAGCAAGTTAAAAATTATATTTACTATAATTTTATTACTATATGGATAGTTATTGACTGCTAACAATTATCACTTATTGTATATTTATTACACGACATGGATATGAGAGATGTTCCCAATAATTCGTGAAAATGCTGCGATTCAAAGAAATAGATTTTATCCTCATATATTGCGGTGGTTTCATGTCAGGAAGTTGAATTGGGAGGGAGATTGCGATGTTTTCAATGTTGACGAGGACGAGGCGCATCAACCCAAAAGAAAGATGATTGTCTCAGATGTGGAGTGCTCTACGCCAAATTATTTTTCATATATTACTAGTTTGAAGGTCGAATCGTCTGAAGTCCCTTCGTCTGTACGTTTCAACTTTAGAAAAAATGTAAGTAAAATGGTAACAATAGAATCTAGTATATTAATAATTTTCAACTATTATTTATATATCAAATAAATTATGTAGGGGGCATCTTCGTCTGATCTATCCTGTGAAAACAACCATTCTACCCAGTCCACTGAACGAACTCATACGGTGGGAATTAACAAAAGGACTATGCGAGAAATACTGGCGAGACTTGAATCTTTGGAGGAAGAAATCCGAGGAATTAAAAAAAAAAGGGGGAGTTTAAGAAGAGGATGACTTGGAAACATATTTAGACCAAGCTTTTGAGGTAAAATAATTAATTTTAGCAATTTACTATCAATTTGAAGAAATTTGAAGTATAATTTCTTAATTATAGTATGATGTATTAATTATAGCATATTATAGCAATGTACTATCAATTTGAAGAATTTTATTTGTTTATAATTGATAGATATTTTGAAGTATAATCTCTTGATAAAATAACCTTGTATTTTGGTAGTTCTGGCTTTGTCATAAAATATGTTATCATCACACAGTTTGCAAAGTACAATGCTATATTTGGTATATTCTTTGTATAGAAAAAACAAAAAATTAGGTTAGTTAATTGTTAAATTTACTTTGCTTTTTTATTAATTATTTTTCTTTAAATGAAGGGGAATGGTAATGTGGATGCTAGTTTTCGGATGCCAAGCCCGATGAGCCAACAATTCGGTAGTGAACGGAAATCAAGTCGAGTAAACGAGGATGATGAATTGGATAATCAACCAAAGTTGGATTGTAGAAAACAAAAACAAATCGTGAAGAAGGTTATATTTTGTTTGTATATTTAATTTTTTAATTTTTCAAAGTATATTAAAAAAATTAATATGTTTTTATAGAAGAAGAAGAAAAAGAAGGTTGTTGATAGCGACATTGTGGATGCGAATAATCATATACCCGAGCCTCCTATTCAAAGACCAAGTCGTCCGGCTAGTTTATTGAAACCTTCACAATATTTAAGCTCTCCATACATTTCGGTAAGCAAGTTAAAAATTATATTTACTATAATTTTATTACTATATGGATAGTTATTGACTACATATATAATGTAGGTTGAATGAGTGGAGACCGAGCGATGTTCGATGGACAATCATGCCATCATCATTTTTTGGTGCATTTGAGATGTTCCAGTGAGCAGGAAGTGCAATGAGAAATCCGATTGACCCATTGGATGAATGTATATCTTGGCTCGAAGTTGACCGTGTGATTAAAAAATAATATATGAGTCAATTAAATTGTCATATTACACTAATTAAACGTTCTAATTAATTGCAACGGTTGTGTGTTAAAACATGATTATTTTCCCATTTGCATCAATCCACATCTTTGGGTACTTGGCGAGTTATGGATGGACACGTTGTCGTTGAGTTTGTACGACAACTTGCGATCTTTTGGCACCGTGAACATTATTGATTTTGTGCGATTTGAAGAGCTTATGGATCACATGCTACTGGACATTGGCTACTGGAACCACATGGATTTGACCGTTCAGAAAGCATCCATTACTGTTACGAATGTGCCCTAACAAGAAGGTATGTTTGGAGAGTGCGGTGTATTTATGTTGATATACATGGAGCAGCTTGTTTCAGGTCAACCGATTGGTATATCGATGACACCTGTTATTGCTGCTATACAGTTTCGCACTAGGATGGGCATGATATATAGTACATATTACATATATTAATCATAACAAACAAGAAAATAAATATACAAAACATATTACATAGATAAACTCATAAATAATACATAAACTTACTAGTTGATTAATCAAAAATGTCAAATTTAAAGATTTGGAAAATCAGTTGGATACTTTGCTTTTTCTTGAAGCACCCAATCGTAATTTTTTTGTATATTTTTGAGAAACTTTTCCATTTTAACCTCTTCTTTGTTGGCGTAGTCTATTGCATCTCGTACCCAAACCCTTACACTTTTTTTGTCGTGTTCTTTGTCTTGAATCGACCTTATATTAGACCAAATATCAGCTTGTAAGTCATCCAACCATTTCCTATCTTCTTCAATGCCTTTAATCTCGCTCTTGATCTCTTCTTCTTTTATTAATAGTTGTAATCGCTTCTCTTGTGGCATCAACCACCATTTTTATTGAGTAGTAGACATGATTGTATGTGTATGATGGTTATAGAATAACGAGAAGGATACGATTTGTAAATCTCATACCCATACATATAAGTCTCTATATATAATTGACACTTTATCTACTTTTTTATAGTCTTTGACTACTATCAAATAGTATTTTACTACTATATTATGTGTTGTCATATCGTATGGTGATTTGCCAAGGCCTTATTCTAATTTGACTACATTTTTATAGAATTTGACTACTGTCTACTAGCCATTGACTACTAATTCATGTGTAGTCTTATCGTATAGTAAATTTCGGATACATGATTGTAATTTGATTATTTTTTGATAGGTTTTGACTACTGTCTACTAGCGTTTGACTACTACTTTATGCGATTGACTAATTGTTTTATAGGTTTTGACTGCTATCTTCTAGCCGTTGACTATTATCTAATGTCATATATAATGTAAATGTGTTTTCAATTCATAAATCAATGAAACAATAAAAAATTGGAGTGTAAAAATGATAGAAAGATCAAAGGAGATGAAAAAGATATTGGCAAAATTTAATTGGCCATCTACATCCACCAATAAGCCTCCTCCCGAGTCAATTGTTCAGAACGATTCAACCAATCCCCCTCCCAACATGGAGAAGATGGATGAGGAAATGAAAAAAAGGTGTTTTTACAAAGAGAAGTTGATGTGGATAAGGCTTATAAGGATTTTTATTTCCAATGACAGCTTCTAGACAACTATTGGGATGACATTGACCGTAAAAAGACTTGGATCATAACTACTAGGTAAGAAATCCAATATACCGAGAGTTCGATCCGCTCTAGTGAAGAAATTGTTCGAAAGCTAAAGAATGAATTAGGACTTCGTGAGTACAATTTGGAGAAAACAAAAAAAGAAGTCAGTGCTATGAAAAAAGAGTATCCGTACGAGTTTTCGATGTGGGAAGAAGATGAGTAGTATTTTAATAATGTGCTTGTTTATTGAAGTAATTTTAAGGTAATATATCTCTATGCATGTCTTTTATTAGTAATTTTAACGTAATATATCTCTATGTATGTTTTATATTAGTGGTTGGGTTGTTGAATTAATTTATATAAGTAGCACTGTCTTATAGTATTGTGACCCTTTGTCCATAGGATACAATATTTTTATTTATTTATTTATTTTGAATAGTAAACTAGATACCTTTCATGTGTTTTGTGTAATATTTCACAAAATAGCATGTACTATATGCGACCTAATAGATTCTATACTTGTGTATATAACAATTTAGTAATATGACATTAGTTTGTATCATAAAAGATGGATCATATTGTACCACTAACATGGAACACCCAAGAAGAAGGCATTTTGATATGTGCTCTGATTACCATCATAGAAGAAGCTTAACCACATGGTCCCCCAAAATGTTGTTTTGGTTATTTTTGGAGGCGTGTCTTTCACTTGTTTCATTATGAAATGGGTTGAGGTTATTATTGTACAAAAAAAGTTGTAAAATTAAAAATGTTACAAGTAAAATGACATGTGAAGCATTTTCATATAATTCATAGCGAGATCAAAAATGCACGTCCGGATAAGGATGAATAAAGAATTTTACTGGTGGCTATGGAGTTATTTCATTTGGAATCTAACGGTAGAGAGTTTGTCCATGTTGATTCTTGGAATGTTATGAAGAATCTACCTTATTTTTAATTATTTTCTAATCTCAGATGAAGTTTGTTTTGTAGCTTAAAATTTATGGTAGAAAGCTTATATATGTTAGAACTTCGCTTCCCTATGTCTAATTTCTAATTGATGTAATCAAAATTTGATATTCCAGAATTCATGTTTGTTTTATCGGTTACTCAACACAATGTTCCTGTCTACCATTTTTGTCTTTTTATTTGTAAACAACATATGTTCTACAGTCAAACGAAATCAGAAAAAATAGATTACAACTTGTACAAAATAATATGAAAAGGATAGAACAACAAATTACCATAGATAGAAACATAAACCATTACAAATAATAACATATATTACATTTTACATAGAGTAGTAGATAAGTGCTACATAAAGTTACTTGATGGACATTTAACTTACAACTTGTAGACAACACCACCAAAAAAGAAAATCCAACTACAAAATATCTTCAAGTGCAACATTTTGCTTTGAAGCTTCTTTTTCGATTGCGCTAAGTTAGAAATTATCAATGAATTATCGTCTTTTGCTTCATCCATCCAACAAATAAACCCAGACTGTGGTGGCTGATAAATAAATATAAAAAACATTATGTATATTGTAACACCCCGAGTTCAGAAGTGCAAGTTCAGGGTGCTTGGTGTAATTAAGGAGGATCGACTAGGCGAGTCCATGTATAGACTCGGCGAGCCGAGTCGTGATTTTGGTCGCGTGTTAAGTGACCAACTCGTCGAGTCAGCAGCTCGACTCGGCGAGTTGGTGCTGAAGGGAGAAAAACCCTAATCCGGGGTTTGTGCCATATATAAAGCACATTATAGCCACCCTCAGCCTCTTTACCTTCCCTTTTAGTTCCAGAAAACCCTAAATCGTGAGAGGCTCCATTGTTGAGAAGATTAAAGCATGGAAGGAGAGATTTGTGTAGAGAAGTTGGAAGACATTGAGGATAACATCAAGAGGGCTTGTGGATCTGAAGTCTACATCAGTTTAGACTCATCTTTGGGGTAAGAAGCCACTGCCTTAAGCCTTTTCCTTATTGTCATCCATATTGGTTGTTTTGGGGGATTCTTTAGCTTGGATTGGATCCATTTCGGGTTTAGAGGTTAGATCTGAAGTTGCAACTTCAGATCTGGGTTGTATTGGAGTCATAAGGGCAAAAAACATCGGTCCTTGGGCTTGATTGAGAGTGTCCTTGCCTTAAACCTTCATCTTTAGCTTGTTGAGCTTGTTGAGCCTTGCATGCACGTAAAGTTGGAAACTTTACGTGTGAATCTGGCCCTAGGAGTCCAAATCAATGTATTGGAAGCAATGGAATGGACTGAAATCTTCTGGATGAAGATGTCACGTCTGGATTCGGCGAGTCTCATGGATGAACTCGACGAGTAGTATGAATATGTGCATGAACTCGACGAGTTGGAAGAACAACTCGACGAGTCCGTTGAATATTACCTTGGACTCGGTGAGTTTGTTCTTGGACTCGGCGAGTCTGTTCTTAGAAGTGGTGAGCCTGGTTGTGGAGTCCTAACTTTTTCTGGTTAAACGGTGAATCGGTGAATCGAGGGATGACTCGGTGAGTTGAGCAAAAATGGACTCAGAATTTGCAGGACACGACGAGTCGATGGGGCGACTCGGTGAGTAGGGTCACACAGAAAGGTGGACTTTGACTGAGGACTTTGACTTTGACCAAGAGTTGACCATTTGACTTCCAGGTATTTTGGTAATTATTGGTATGTATTGAGTTCAGTCATTTGGTATTGATCAGTGGTGGAGTTTGTGTCGGAGGTTGGAGCAGCGTGATCTTATCTCTTCAGTCAGCAGTTGCGAGGTGAGTTATCCTCACTATATCGACATGGTCTAAGGCACCAAGGTCAGCCCTTTATCGGATGGAAATCCGGGTAGTTGTTATGTTGTTGCTTTGCTATACGTTTACATCCTGGTAGTTAGGATGGTATATGTTAGAGACCTGGTTAAGGTCAGAATCCTGGTATATAGGATGATGCTATGTTAGTGACCGGTTAGGTCGGTATCCTGGTTAGAGTGTGCTATATATGTGATTTGCTAGATCGGTTGATTAGTGATGAATTTCTATATGATTATATGTTTATGTGCACATGGTTGGTTGATTGGGGTTGGGTTGAGGCGGGTCCTTCTTTGTGCTGTAAGCCAACATACCCAAGGCGGACCGGATATCCCGAAGGCCCAGCGAGCGGTCCGGATAGGCTGTAGGCCTCACGAGGGCGGACCAGATGTGCCGAGGCCCGGAGAGTGGACCAGGTCGACTGAAGGCCCGATGCGGGCGGATCAGTCATACTGTAGACTTAGAGAGTGGACCAGGTAGGTTGAAGGCCCGGTGCGGGTGGACCAACCACACTGCAGACTCGATGTATGTTGCTAGACTCGGAGGGTGGACCAGGTGGACTGAAGGCCCGGTGCGGCAGACCAGTCACACAGTAGACCCAAAGTGCATGGTTGTTCTGTTTATGATATGATATGTTATGTGTATGGTATATGTGGTTGGTATTTTGGGGGCAACTCACTAAGCTTTCGGGCTTACAGTTTTCAGTGTATTGTTTTAGGTACTTCAGGAGATCGTGGCAAGGCGAAGGCATGATCGTACCGCTCCTCATGTTTTATGTACTTATGTTGTGGTTCTGGTAAATACTCTGATAATAAATGAATTGAAAACCATTTTGTAATGAATTAATGAATATGGGTTGTTTTTGAAAAGTTTAAATTGGTTGAAAATTTTGGATG